CAACTGCATATACCTCTGTGGGAAGACTATTGGCAAAGGCTGACTTTTTAATGGGGATTACTATTACTGTGACAAGCGCCACAATCTTTCATTACTTGCCCCTGTGAAGAGTTGAGGCTTCATGCTTCCCATCTCATCTACGAACAGTAGGAAAACGCTGGGAGTTGTGTTAGAAAACTCTACCTTGAGAAGGCTAAAATGGCAAATTGAAATTCAGAGGACAGCTTGCAACAGTGAATCACTTTTGAGCCTAAAAAACTGAATCTCCCAGGTAATCCATGAGAGTTTCAAAACAGTTTCAAAGCCTTTAACCTTTGTAATGCAGCAAACCCAAAGCTGAAACCCAAGACTTCTGTCTTTTGTTTAAATGCATAAGAAGATGACTTTTTAAAAAATGCATAAGAAGCAACAAAGGCTCTGTTTGGCTTTGATAGGGTAGGGTGATATTTTGAAAATAAATGACATTCTCAGTAACCTAGTTGAGATGTTATAGGTATAATTTGTTATGGTCTGGTGCGCAAGCAGCAAACCCAAAGCTGAAACCCAAGACTTCTGTCTTTTGTTTAAATGCATAAGAAGATGACTTTTTAAAAAATGCATAAGAAGCAACAAAGGCTCTGTTTGGCTTTGATAGGGTAGGGTGATATTTTGAAAATAAATGACATTCTCAGTAACCTAGTTGAGATGTTATAGGTATAATTTGTTATGGTCTGGTGCGCAACCCCTAGCCCAGAGGTAAGCATTGGTCAGATTTGATTGAAACAAATTATCTGTTTCAATAAAACAAACTTAGCAAAAGAAATAAAAATAAACAATAGAAAGAGAAAGTGAGAGCTTATTAATGGGGATAATGCTTACAGCACAAAAATAATAACTATAAATACTTTAAAATAAATTATGCTTTAGGTTTCTTTAGGATGGTAATAATCAAAAAAACAAAACCTCATGAGACAAGGAAAAGTCTGAATAGTATTAAGAGATGATTTTCAAACCTGCACATTCTCAATTACATAGAATAGATTTGGGTTTATCTAATGTATGTACTCAAAAAAAACAAAAACAAAAACCTAGTTCTCTGATGTGTCTGTGCAAATCAGATACGCTGGCCATTATTACAAAGTCATCATTTGCCAAAATTACTACCCTCTCCCCAAATGCAACCTCAAATGCCATGGGATTCTGCAGGGATCAGTTCTGGGACCAATTCTGTTCAATATCCCTCATCAAGGATTTAGATAATGGCATAAAAAGTACTTATAGTTTGCGGATGATACCAACTTGGGAAGGACTGCAAGTGCTTTGGAGGATAAAGTCATACTGTAATTCAAAATGATCTGGACAAATTGGAGAAATGGTCTGAGGTAAATAGGATAATGTTTAATGAGGACAAATGCAAAGTACTCCATTTAGGAAGGAACAATCAGTTGCATACATACAAAACGGGAAGTGACTGTCTAGGAAGGAGTAATCAGAAAAGGATTTAGAGGCCATCATGGACGACAAGTTAAATATGAGTCAACAGTGTGACACTGTTGGGGAAAAAAGCAAACATAATTCTGGGATGTATTAACAGAAGTGTTGTAAGCAAGACACAAGAAGTAATTCTTCCGTTTTACTCTGCACTGATTAGGCCTCAGCTGAAGTACTGTGTCTAGTTCTGGGTGCTACATTTCAAGAAAGATGTGGACAAACTGCAAAAAGAAGAGCAACAAAATAGATTAAAGGTCTAGAAAATATGACCTATGAGGGTTTGTTCAGTCTAGAAAAGAGATGACTGAGAGGGGACATGATAGCAGTTTTCATGCACCTAAAAGTGTGTTACAAGAAGGAGGCAGAAAAATTATTCTCCTTTGCACCTAAAAGCGTGTTACAAGAAGGAGGCAGAAAAATTATTCTCCTTAACTGCTAATAGGACAAGATGCAATGGGCTTAAATTTGCAGCAAGGGAAGTTTAGGTTGGACATAAGGAAAAACTTTCTAACTGTCAGGGTGATTAAGCCTTGGAATAAATTGCCTAGGAAGTTTGTAGAATCTCCATCACTGGAGATATTTAAGAGCAGGTTAGACAGACATCTGTCAGGGATGGTCTAGATGGTGCCTGGTCCTGCTGTGGGTGCAGGGGGCTGGATTTGATGACCTCTTGAGGTTTCTTCCAGTTCTATTATTCTATGATTCTTGGATTTCCCCTTATACATAGAATTGGAAATACTCTGGGAACCGTACAATAACTGTTGGCAAATTATAGCAAATTCTCCTGTGCATTAGCTCTGGCACCTAACTTGCTATTTTGCACACTCATGTACCTCATTTGCATTTGCTCATCCATTTTTTGTGTGCATAAAATTCCTATATCTGCGCACATATAAATGTCCAACTTTGACAACTGGGCTCTAATATTTGGGTTGGTGTTTTTTTAAAATCACCGTGTCTTTTGTAAGTGTGGGTCTAAGCACTCAGAATTTCCTACTTACTTTTAAGGAGCTCCCTGGAGGCCTTTGTGGGGATGGGGAGGAGCGGACAATAGAAGCCCTGTAATTTGGGTAAGAATCCATTGAAACCTCACTGCACCAGGAATAAGGGGTAGAGGGGATCTCTCGAATCACAAATCCCAGCATCAAGAATTATTCAGACATATGGCCTGGGGGGAAGGATCCCGCAAGGTCTTGAGCAGCAGGAAAGACTCATCCAGCTTCCTGGATCAGCCCATATTGTCTACATTCAGCTAACAGTATTATCTATCTAGTCAATATCAACCAAAGCAGCATCTTCCCTTTCAAGGCCTGAGCCATTGACCTCAATGGGCTTTAGATCAGGCACAAAGAATGCATTCATTCAAATAAAATTGTAACACACTGTTTTCAGAGGTGAGGAGCATATTACGGGGCATAAATGCTTTAGTGAGTACATGTTGCATGACCAGGTAGAGAGGAGATGAGCTTTCTTAATAATACAGATATTTGCAGGCTGCCCAAATATTTGTTCTCATCATTTTGTTGTGGTGGATATATAAAGAGAAGATTAATGGACTGACACCCAGAAATGAGTTTCTCACACAGGTAGCTGCACAAGCATTCCTCCTGATGTGTTCACTTCCTCTAGTTTTACTATTCGTTGGCTGAGTTCTCCCTCCTAGCCACAAAGTGGATCAGGCTTGATGTTTTCCCAAACCGTCCCAGCTTAGGAAGAACTGGGAAGAAGGGACTGTTCTTGCACAAGTGGCTGTGGGCTTTGGAGCAGCAACTCATTAAGTCTGATTTTAGATGGACTGATTCGATGGAAATAATAATTTAAGGCCAACTTCAGATCTCTACAAGGGCATCAGACGAGGGAGTTAGTCCCTACATCCCAAGCCCATGGCTGTTAAAATTCCCAGGCTGCGGCTAGACTACATTCCTCTTTCAAAAGAGGAATGCAAATGAGGGAAATCGAAAATGCAAATGAAGCACTGATTTACAAATCTCTGGCTTCATTTGCATAATTTCATCCGATCACTTTTTTGGAAGAGATTTAAAAAAAAAAAAGCAGTCTAGACAGGGTTTTTTCGAAAAAAATCCCCTTTTCAAAAGAACCCTATAAATCTGATTTTTTCAGGAATAAGGGTTCTTTCAAAAAAGGGTTTTTCCCCCCTCATTTGCATTCCTCTTTCGAAAGAGGAATGTAGTCTAGACGCATCCCTAGCATTCTCAATGGCAATTTCACTGCACTCTCAGCAAGAATCCAGGCCATATGTTGGCTAATACCTCCCTCCACAGACACTGTTGAAACCAACGGGGTTGCTTGCAGAACAAGATGTTATCCAACAGGAGTAAGAGTATCCAAAAGTGGTCCCTGTTTAAAATCGTGCTATGGTTGCTTTGGCAAGATGTTTTACCTCTGGTGGGATGAATTCACTTGCAGTCCCTGGAACAATTACAAGTTGGCTACTGGAGGGGAACAGGGATGTGTACAAGGTTGCACCTTTCTAACGCCTGGTGACTGGACCCCTGAGGCCCCATCCACTGCACTGCCTCTTCATCCCAAGACCCCAGCCCTGCTCGGCTTCTTCCCCTAGACCCTGACTGAGCCTTTTCGGCCTCTTCCCCCCAAAGCCTCACCCCTTCTCCGCTTCTTCCCCCAAATTAAAAAAAAAAGGGACATCACAGCTTTTCAAATGGCACCTAGATAGACAAGAGAAAATCCAGACAGGTGGCAACCTTAGATGTGTATGTCACTGCCCATATAATCTGAAATGATAACTGCAATTATATTCCCAGCATTTCTTCACTTCAGGCTAGACTGAGTTTGCTCTCAGCACGTAGCTGCATTGTGCAAAGTGCAGACTAGGGAGGGAGCTGTGATTGTTTAGCTTACAAGTCCTGTCCTGGTTCTCCTAGCATGGGAGGAGGCAGCCTTCAACTATGATTGTTTAGCTCACAAGTCCTGCCCTGGTTCTCCTAGCATGGGAGGAGGCAGCCTTCATGAGAAAGGGTTGAAATTCATCTCCTTATTCCCCCAAGGTATTCTGTGACTTGATATGTGGACAGCCTACACAGGGGAGCGCGGAAATGGTTTTCATACCATTATTCCCCTACAGGGGCGCTCAAGACAAAACCACAATCTTCCCTTCAGTAACCATCCTCCCAACTTAGAGCATCGTCTTGGCCAGCCCTGATTTATTCCATTCTGACTTTATATTAAGGTTGTATCTTACAGATTCAAATCAGGCTTACAGCAATGCAATCTATCACAGACACATCGATACAATGTATAATCCATGGTTATAAGCAACCATGTTGAACTCAATAAGAATCTATAAAAACTGACTATTTATGAAAGCCAGTGTAAAGAATCTATTAACTTCTAATAAACTATATATGAATGGCACCTTAATATAAAGTCTGGTGTTTATTCTGCCCCATATTAAAAAAGCAAACTATATAGCTAGAGTCTAAGAAAACAGCTGCCATTTGAGTCAACAGTTATGGAGCTACTTAAAGCAACAGCGTCACAATAAAACCTACCTGAATTTTTTGATGGGAGACTGCTTTTCCTGTGCAGTTGCAAGGTGCCCAGAATAATAAACGGGGAAAAACAAAATGTTCCAGTTTGTTGAAAACCAAGTCATGAAAAATGGGTAATCAAAGTTCTTATATGTGATTTTCACAATCTGTGTGGTTCCAACCCAAGAGGAGGAGACTGACAAGATTATTAGAAATCCCCAGACAACCTTAAGAAATGTAGATGTACAAGATTGACACCGGGTCTGTGCTTGGTTTTCTTGGCTGTTGTTCTCGGTGTTGTTTTGTGTCCCTTCTTCTCCTGAAAAAAAAAAAAAAGAGAGAGGAGAATTACACGCAAAATGGATCCATTTCAAGGAATTCATAATTTCGGCTAGAGAACTGGTTCATCCCTCTGAACCAATCACAATGCCCCAAGGTAAGCACTTGGAATGCTGTGTAAAGAACTACATCGGTAATAAAACAGCAGAAATTTCAAGGTGATGGGAATAATGTACAACCAAACTACAGTGGCACAAGATGAAAGAACTCCGCTACTGCCACTGTGTTGGGTCGTTCTTCTGTCAGTCAAGCCTGCAGCATACAACTGAATGTCTTTCTTAGGACCAACTACATTACAAAGCCACAACCTATGCATATTTGTTTTGTGAGCCCATAGATCTGAACCTAGGAACAAGCCTCTAAAGGGTACGTCTAGACTACACCTCTGTCAACAGAGAGCTGTAGATAAGGCATGTCGAAATTGCTAATGAGATAGGGATTTAAATATCCCGCGCTTCATTAGCATAAACGGAGCTTTTTCTAAAAAAAACCAGCAGTCTAGACACGGATCTGTCGAAAATAAACCCTTTTATGAAAGATCCTGTAAACCTCATTTTTTGAGGAACACAGGATCTTTCGAAAAAGCATTTATTTTCAACAGATCCGCATCTAGACTGCTGGTTTTTTTCAGAAAAGCTCCGTTTTGAAAAAAAAGTGGTGGTCATGTTTATGCTAATGAAGCATGGAATATTTAAATCCCTGCCTCATTAGCAATTTCGACATGCCTAATCTACATCTCTCTGTCGACAGAGAGGTGTAGTCTAGACACAGCTCCAGATTCAAAGATCTTGATTCGGAAGCCACATTTTTATTTGCAAGCCTAGGGAAAAACCATTTGAAAAAGATTTCCATTTTGAAGTTCATCACAAAGGTCATTGCAGCTATAGACTTAAAAATGCAAATGGAACAAAACTAGAACTTGGCACAACCAGTCACAAAAGAAAAAACTATACAGGAAAAAGAAACAGATCTCTATCATTCCAGACTCTTGTTACTGTGGAACTACTGAAACAGCTGATACATTTTGCTCCTCCCTTGGTCTGCTGTGCCAGTTACTACTCTAGAATGCACCACGGTGGTTTGGTGTTATGAACAAAGGTGTTAATGTTAAACCCATTATACGCAGCCACTCCACCTAAACAGCAGCGACCTTAACTTCATATTTTTCCTCTCTATAGGTTTGACCAGCATATGACATTTTCTATCATGGGGATCAACTTGTTTATTTATGTTAATAGGAGCTATACATCAGCCTTGAAGATATGACAATGTAGCCTGAGTTCTGTTTTAGAATAGTTCAACAAAATAGGAAAGAAAGGCAGGATTTCAGACCAAAGCTTAACTTTCCTTGTATGCAGTTGTTTTTGATATAGGATTAGCATAACATATATGTAGTGGATCAAGTTAGTAGAGGTACATTGGGGTGTGTTTGATCCTGGAAATGTTTATTTTCATTATAACAGAGAATGCATTAAAACCAAGAACTTTATAATGTGGAAACAGTGCATTTTGCAACTGTGCATTGGTCTCTTTCTAGAATATAGATGGTAAGGAG